GATTGGGGCCAAGAATAATGGTCTCCATTACTGGAAGATCTTAAGTGATTTATTCAAGTCCCTCAGCTGGTACGAAGTAGAACTGTCATTAGAATTTACAGAATTGCTTGGCTCCAATAGACTATGCACTTCTTCCGCCTCTTCAATGAAAACGCATTTCCTTAACTGACCTCAGTACAAAGTTCTCGAATGGCCCCCGGGTAGGCGAGATGCTCACGGCTAGGAAGCTTGTCCCTAGCAGGATCTGAAAGGATCTTGTCCCTAGCAGGATCTGAAAGGATCTGCTGCAGTATGCTAAGCTCTATGCGTATTAGGAGTGAGGTGTGTTGGCTACTAAAGGTGTTTTTATTCCTGTGTTTCTCAGGTAATTGGAAATCCAATTAAACACTATTTGAATTAGTGATATGTAAGTGCAAAAAGAGTTTGTGTTTTCATGAGAGGCAAGCTAAGTGCTTTGCAATGGCTCAAGGAATATAAATCCCTAAAAACATTTCCCTCCCATTAGGTGTGGGTGATCCAAAAGAATGGGAGGGAAAAAAAATAACTCAAAGGTGCCCTCTAATTGCTTTGCAAGGTCTTATAGTTCTTGCTCCACTTTAAAGAAAAGGACTCTGATAACCCTACAAAATGCATAATGGAGGTGTTTAATGCCAGATAACACACTCAATCAGCAGACCCAGAAATATGACTTATAGATGAAAGGAGAGTTAATAAAGATTAATTTGTTCTGATTTTTGTTTTAGCTGACAATTAAAGCCCAGCACGGAGTGGTGGTGTCCTGGTGTCTTGTTAAATAACTTCTTTCCTATTCTGAGGTCTTAGGACTACCCTCCAGACCCGCTTTAAGATAACAGTTCAATTTGGTTTAAAGTCTATAATCCATAGATATTTTGTGCATGGTGTGAGACAGGAAATCATTTTAATTTTTTCTTCCATATGGAGAATCTGGTGTCTAAACATCATTTATGAAAAATGTAATCCTTTCTCCAAGGATCAGCAATGCCATCTCTTCCCGTGTCAAGTTTCCATAAGTGTGTGGGTGTTCCTGGACTCTCTTCTCTGTTCTATTAATCATCTGGCACATCCCAGAGCAAATGCTCAGCAGAAATTTGCCATAGATTTTTAGTGGTTACTATTTATGAGTTTTTAACATGAATGAGTGTTTAATTTCATCAAATAAATTTTCCACATCTATTTTGATGATTGTATGGAGTTTCTCTTTAATCTATTAACATGCTCAATGATATTTGTAAATTTTTTAAAATGTTAGATCACCCTTGTCTTTCCCAGAATAAACCCAAATTGGCCATGATATATTATCTATTTTCTACATGACTGCATGTGGTTTGCTAATATTTGGCCTAAGAACTTGTACATCTGTATTTATGAGCAAAACTAGACTATAGTTTTCCTTTTTTGTAACTCTCTTTGTGTAATTTCAGTATTGAGAACATTCTGGTTTCACTGAACACGTTAAAATCTATCTCTCTATTCTTACTCTCTGGAAGAGTTCAAGATTGGAAATATCTTTTGATTTTAAAAAAAAGATAGGAATTATTTCTTTGTAGACCTAAAGGGACTGTTTTCTTGGTGAGGTTTAGTGTGGTAATATAACATTATAACATATACACACGCATACACACACATATATATATTTAAATCAGTTTTGGTGAATTCTACACTTCTAGGAATTTGTCTCTTTCACGTAAGTTTTCAAGAATATTGACATAATGTTGCTCACATTATTTGATAATCTCTGTCATTCTGCTTTATATATTGAGTTGAAAGCTCCACAAACCGACAGAGCATTTAATCTTTGCTGTATTCCTAGAACTCAGAAGAATTGCTGGCTCAGGCACAGTTAGAGACAGCGTCGATGAATCTGGATTCATGTCACCCCATTCATTTCCTGGTAAGTTCTTTCTTTCTTGATAAGTCCTGCCATAGCTTTGTCTATATTATTGGTCCCTGTCAAAGAACCAACTTTTGACTTTATTGAATAATTGGTTAATCAATTTCTGCTCTTACCTTTTTTATGTCCTGCTTTTAGTTTCCTTCGAATATGCTTCAACGTTCTTTGTATATCATCCTCCGTGTCAAACCAGGCATATTACTTTGTCATTTTTTCTTCTCTTAATACAAACATTTAAGGTTTTCTATTTCCCTACATGTTTACTCATTATACTAATTTTGACACATATTATTTCAACTTCATTTAGTCTCTAAGAAGTTTTCAGTTTCAATTATGATTTCCATTTAGAACCATGTGGAATTTAGAAATGGGTTCTCAATTTTAATCAAATACATATTTTTTTTATCTTATTGTTATAGCCTTCTAATTTAATTAGATTCTGTTCAGAGAACTACGATATAGTATAATTCTGTAAAATGTACTAGGATTTTGCTTTATAGTCCTATACATGGTAACATTTTTGCAAATGTTCTATGTGAGTTTGAGAAGGATGTACATTGTCTGACTTTTAAATACAAGATTCTTCACTTGCCCAAGTGAAGTAGTTAACTGTATACTTCACATTTGCTATATTTTTATCAACTTTTTGATTGATCTTTCAGGACTTGGAAAGGACACATTAAAATATTTTACTACAATAGTAGACATGTCTACTTCTTTCTAGTGATCTGCCTGTATGTGGGTACAATTATGTTACAATATATGAAAATTCATAAGTGTATATATTTACATGCCTCTACACACATATATTTAAAGACACATGTGTTACAGCATGAAGTGCATCCAAATTTGAATTTTTGATCTTCCTTCTTATTAACTTTTTATTTGTAAGTGTGACCTCCTCTCTCCCTAATGATGGTTTCTCTGACACCAACACAACCAGCCTGTTTCCTTTTAGACACTTCCCCTGATAATATTGTCCCATAATTTTACTGTCAGCCTTTTCAGATTACAATGAGAAGGGTATGTGGCTGGTAAACAGTGTATCCCGGATAACATTTTCTCTTCAATCTGAAGATCAGTCTTCTCATTACCACAATTAGTTTACATTTATTTGGTTATTGATATATTTGGACTTAACTTCTATAATCTCAATTTCTTGCCTTTTCTGTGCCCAATTTTTCCTATGCTTTTATTTTCTCCTTCTTTTCTTGCATTCCTATTTGTGTCTGTTTTTATAAAATGACTGCTCCAGGAACCAGGGACAAAGGCCGACTTCAGGTTTATGCCACACTACCTTTTATCCACATTCCCAGCCACCAGGGGGCAGCATATCACCCCACAGGCAAATGCCTTAGGCAGAGGCTCCTTGCTTAAATCTTACCCTTTTGAACTCGCAGTCTACCATGGTTTCTGGTCTCTTGTTTTCCTTACTTCATAGAAAGATCTATGCTTTCAAAACAGTGTAAAAAAACAGTTTTAACCCAGCATTTTCAGGTGTCCTTTATAGGGTTAGTTTTATTTTCCTCCCCTCCAAACTTCTTAGTCCACAGTATTCATCAAATATTCCTATTTCATCTGTTTTCTGGATGTCTAACAAGAACACAGGGTATACAAGAAACTGCATACGTGTTGAAAGAATAAATGATGTGGATATTTCTGTTTTAAATACTTTCTAATCTTTTGCAATAAACGTGAAGTATAGTAAAAAACAAGAGTTCTTTCTTTTGGCTCCATGATTCTACTCATGGGAAGGAAAACACACAGAAGGAAAGAGAAGGAAGCTGTTCATAACAACACAATTCGTATCTGTGAACACGTGAGAACAAGTAAGGGTCAGGGGAAGGTGGCTGAGTCATGGATTATTATGGAAGTAGTGGGCATGTGTGTTAATACTGTGCAGCTGACTCCAGAAAGTGCGTATAATATAAAACAAGCAATGGGCAGAAAAGAGAATTCAATGCACATTAAGACTACAGATACGACATGACACGTACAAGACCAGGAGCCAACTGGAAACCTTCACTGTTAAGAAAGTGAGGTCTGAGATCCTTTTTCTTTTTCAAAACTTAAACTATGGTTCTTACAGTGTGCACGGCAATGAATATAAATTTTAAAGGAAGTAAACTCTTTAGGGATGTATGTATCTACTTCTCTGGTACAACTAGAGAGGCAAATTGGAATTAGTTAGGACTGTGTTCGGTTCCTGGTTCTGGAACTGAAGTTGACCATGGATAGTTGGTTAAGCCAGGGAAGATCAGAACCATCCAAAGTGGAGACTCATCAACTAAATAAATGGTGGTCCATTTGAGCCACGATTAGAATGGCTTGTTATGCAGCGTTGTCTATAGTGCTAGACAACTGAGGCACCTTGTCTTTTTCTCTACAGACAGATCCTGCCACGGTGCTCGGTACCTAGAGAGCCATGATGAAAACTCTGTGTCACGGTCCCTTCTCTAGTAAGGGGAAAGAGATGTATGCTTCATCCCATTTCTGACCCTCCCACACCTACCACAAGCACCACAGCAGCTGTCATTTTTTTTTTTTTTACGCCTATGTCCTTAACACATTTCTCACTCTCTCTATGCCATAAGGGACTTGGAAATGGGAAGTTATTCACATCAGCATCTACAAGCCTGGTACAGAGTAGGACTTCGTCACTTACTTTTCACTTGACTTAAATGAATGGATTTCGGGGAGGTGACATGAACCAAAACAGCTGGCAGCAGATGGCAAGAAAAATAATCACACAAGCTGGTTCTTACTCCAGAGGTCTTTATGCTTTCCAGAAAGCCCCAACACACACACACACACACACACACACACACATACACACACGCACACACACGCACACACACACGCACGCATGTACGCACGCACACACCCCCACACACACAGAGGCAACGATTAAGACAAGCATGCCCCTTCTGGTCTTGGGAGCCCCCCTCTCTTTCACCAAGCTGCACACCAACCTCACAGCCATCTGGGCCCCCTCAACCCCCCACGCAGCTTCCCTCTGCTCCCCAGGGCTCCTCACCCTTCCCCTGGGGGTGGGGCCCTCGCCCCGTGAGGCCTGTCTTGACCCTACCTTTAGATCAGACACGTCTCTGTAGCACTGCTCGGAGCGGGTGTGGTCTGACAGCTGCACATTCCAGAAGCAGGGCAGCTGATACACCAGGAAGGGGTTCTGCTTGATGACGGCATTGAAAATATCCTGGGGGATAAGAGCCAAAGCGGGGTCAAGGCAGGCAGCGGGTTTGGCCTACGGTTCTGTCCCGAGGCAGCACGTCCCCTGTGGGAGGGCGCCCTGGGCATCCTGCCTGGGCACAGGACAGTTTGCACCCAGGGCGTTTCTCCCGCCTGTTATCTCCAGAAACCAAGCGATGATGTTTGGATGGAGGTAGGGATGCTGCAGGCCGCCTGGCCGCCTGTGGTCCTGCGGTCTCACACAGCATCAGGCAGGGAGCTCATGTGGGGGCAGACAAGGGAGCATCTTTCCTATGCTCCCTGGCATATAGTAAATGAAGTCTCTTCTCCTCCCCTCCTACCGTCCTATCCAGGAGCCCAGAGTTCTCCACCTGAGCCTCCCAGGGAGGAAACTATGTGGTGACAAGTGGCCCAACTCACCCAGAGGCTGAGACAAATTATAGATCCTCCCTTCCAGCAGCTTTTTCCTGGGGCATTGGGTGGGCTTGTGATGGATGCTGCTTAGACTCCTACAGGCCACAAGGCCAGAGTAGGCAGCCCCCCTTTCAAGGCCAAGTCTCCCTTGTCTCTGGACCAATCCCCTGTTTTGGGCTCCTCTCCAAGCTCTCTCAGGGGCCACACTTATTAACCAGCATGGATGGTGGCTGGTGGCACCAGGAGATGAGTTATGGGCCTTTGCTACAGGACTTGGCTGACCTGACTATCCTCACTGGACATGGTCACACAATTGCTAGCTCTGGGGGACACACTCAAGTCTTGGTGACCTGACTTACAACATGAGGATAATGGATGACGTCCTCTCAGGCTTAAGAGAGCACCCAAGTATTTTTTTTTTTTTCCTTTAACTCATTCATTATACCGTATCTCATTGTTTAGAAAAGGAAATCAGTTTCTGGCTATCTGAGAAATCCCAAATAGCAATGCTTAAAAAAATAGAAAAGTTACCCTGCACAGTATCTGGTTTCCTCTGTATTAGAAAACTGTGTAGGAACTTGAGGATTCAGGTAACTGAACTTTGAACAGAAGCACGGAGATGAGCGCCGTGGATTTAGGGAGGCGACATGACAAAATGCAGAGGAATCATCTCTGTGTTCCCAAGACGGCCACCAACACCCCAGCCAGGTCAAAATCTATAGTGACCCGGTGATCCAAGGTCTTTCTTGGTCAAAATGAGAAATGGTTTTGTTATGAATATCTGTTGATATGGACAGAGTTCAAGGATCTTTTCAGGTTGCCTGGATAATAGGGAGGTTTCTAGAGCCAGGAAGTTTGTTCTTCCCACTTAAATGTACTTCCCTCAAGTTCAGGGTCACCGGGACCGGGTCTCAGCCTGACAGGTTAGACTTATTTGCCATGGAGGCATGAAATCTTGACTGGGAGACACGTGGTGGTGCGCTGGGGCCAGGGGGAGCAGGGGCCTGTCATGGCTCTGATGGGGACAGTGACCTCCTCTCGGCACAGTGGACTGACAGCAAGTTACGATCCTGCCTCAAAACCCACGAGCTCCCTGAGACCAAGAGCTGCATCCTCGTTCATCTGTCCTACCTCTCCTGAGCATGGCCCTGGTGTCCACTGTGCTCAGGGCACTACGCTAAATGAACAAACAAATGAACCAAAGGAAGAACTAGTGAGGGGAGCAGTGTTTCAGCCTGCCAGGGCCAAGGCAGCTCTTTCCCTCCGAGTCAATAACAGGTGGCGAAATAACCCAGAGCCAGCTGCTTTAAGATCTCTGTGAGCAACAGCACGAGGGCTGCGGCAAGTTTGCATCTGGACTGTGTTAAAAGGCCTGGCTGAGCCCAGGTTCCCCCCAGAACTCCGTTGGAGGTGGTGGAACTTTTGAGGGGTGGGGCCAAGGGGGGAGGTCTTTAGGCCCCTGAGGACGTGCCCTTGAAGGAAACTGTGGAACCTGGGTCTCTTCCTCTTCTCTTTTATCTTGGTCAGGAGGTGAGTGACTTTCTCTGCTCCTCCTCGTGCTCCTGCTGTGACATGCTGCCGTGCAACAGGCCCAACGCAAGGTGGCCAAGAGACCAAGGACTGACACCTCAGAAACTCTGAGCCAAGACAAACCTTTGCTGTTTATAAGCCCGTCGTTGCAGGTATGTTATGGTGATAACACACTGTATGCTGACCTACCCAAGGGCACTCCCTCTAACTTGGCCACTCACCTGGTCAGCCAAGGATGTAGACAGCATGCCCATGAGCTCCCTCTCTGCCGTCAGTCTCCACATCTGCTCCCATTTCATCTTCCGCAGCTTGTCCAGAAGCAGCAGAATCACCCCTGGGCAATGGCATAGGATAGGAGAGTAAGGCAACAGTGAGTCAGAGAGACAGGCATACCAGCTCGGCACAGCCACAGTCTCTCGGGGACAGTGTGTCTGAGGCATTCTCATTGCACGAGGAAGCACCAAGACCCCCAGGGCTGCAGCGAGAACCAGTGGGGTGGGTGACTGTGACTAGGCCCTTCTAGAGCTGGACTGTGGTGATGGCCGCACCACAATAGGCCGTGGACTTCACGTCACTGAACTGTAACATAAAGGTAGTTAAAATGGCAAACTTGTGCATGCTTTACCCCAACAGTGACAGTGAAGATCCCAGCTTGCCCTTGACAAGCAGCACCTTTCTTACAAGTGCTCGGTTCCCCCTGCCTTTTTCCCTGGAGGTAGGACACTCTTAGTCAACATGGCTGATACCTGTGGCCTAGGTACGGCTTATCTTTACAGACTGAAACAGCTCCTCTGTGACTTTATTTGTCTTTGCAAATCTGCTTTAACAATTATTGACAAGTGTGGGGCTGGCCTCAGTGTTCCCAATGGCCAGAGGGTCTTCTGCGGCTCACGCGGAGCCAGCGTGTGTTTCAACTTCAGGTGAAGGCCGTGCTGGTGTTGGGTCTTTAAGATGAGCTCTAAAGTCTTTGGCCTCACAAGAAACTAGTAATAGGAGCTGGATTCTTCCTCCTTCCCACCTTCTTAGGGTTTTTGTGGGGAGGGATCTGGGTGAATTGGGAATGGTACAGGGAGGGAAATTTCCACTGTTTATCCTTTGGTATTTTTAAGAATGCTTGCACAACTAAATATACTGCTCAGGCCAATTAATTAATTCTACAATTAATTACAATCTAATTGGGAAGCACATCTTGGCTTAGGTGAGTGGCTTAGAAACAGCTGTCTACCAACAGGTTCAGTCCAAATGTGCAGAGAAAGCCCAGAGCTGAGAACACGAACAGCCAAGAGAATGTCCCTGCAGGCCACTGCAGTTGGTGTGGCGGATGGGATGGTTACACCCAGGGCCCCCCACCCCCAATCAATCCTCTTCAGGATGCTTAGCTCAGCAGAACGGCCACTGGAGCAAACTCCAGGCGGTTGAAAAATGAACTCAGTCGATACCTGGTACATACATTTCTAAGGCTGTAGGAAGACTGATTTCCCCAAGTCAGACATAAATGGTGACTCTAAGACTTTTTACTTAATCAAATGGCACATATTTGGAGAAAAAGCATATTCACCATTGAGTGAAGGGTGTTTGGTTGACAGAATTGTACTAAAACACATGTGTGGAAATGGGAAGAATTCGTAAGTCAGAAGGCCAATTTTATCTATCTCCTTTGGGCTTCATTAGGGCTTCTGCATATACTACTTCCTTAAAACCCCCAAGCTCTTTACAAGGTATTATTCATCTCCTTAGTTTATCAGTGGGGAGGCTGAGGGGCTGACTCAGACACTTGTCCAACTCACAGTTTAAAAGTCACTAGATCAGACTCATTCAGATCTGCCTGACTTTAAGGCCAGTGCAGCGCCTACCAGTCTACATCCCGCAGAGCCAAGGAAGGCTGATTCTCAGTTCCCACATGTGCCACGTGAGGAGAGTGCTGCTTGCCCTACACTACTCAGAGAACTGGCATGCCCTTTGTGGTAGGCTGGTGGCCTTCACCCAACAATTCTACTGGAGAAAGCCAAAACCACCTCATTAGAAGCCCATGCCAATTTCCATTGTGTAAACACCCCAGGTTAGGGTCAACCCCAGAGAGTTGTGTGATGTCATTGAACACGGAGCTGGGAAGGAAAGCAAGACAACCGGCCCTCCTGAGCCATATGAGCAAGATCCAGCACACCACTGAAACTGTTCCCCAAATATGGACATATTTTTAGAAACAGTAAAATTTGCCACAGATGTATTATTTGATTGCTTCTTCGGTGAAAAAGGAAAGACATTTACAAGTTAAAGAGAACATTGTGATGTAAGTCACTGGTGATTGATGCAAAAAATAGACTCTAGTCAAATGTGTGAAAGAGAATTTCATTATGTCTTGTTGAAAAAATTAATTCTAATTAGGTTGGATCAAGGCTCCAACATATAGAAAAAAATGGGGGAGGGGATTTTAGAAGATCTAGATGAACATTTTAAAGCCTCCAGAGTGATCCATGGTAGACCTGCCTGTCTCTGGGGGCCGAGTTGAGAACTGATACTTTTAAATGGTGCTAAGACTTGTTGAGCCTAAGTGGCAGATGTGACCCAGCACTGTTTGCTAGACTACTGGAAAAGGGGTGGGGTCAAGAACAGAGGACATCTCAGGGCACAAAATCGGGCTGAAGCTGGAGCTGGGGGCTGCGGTTGCATCTGATAAAGAATGTCCAGAGGACTAAATGGAGAAACACAAGTCTGTTATCCCAGTGACCGAGACTTTAATTATGTGGTTTTTAACTTACTTTTAAAATGATAAGTTATTTCAAACTAAGAGAAACTGATGTAAAAAAACGCACAGAAACTAATGTAAAAAATACCCACCACTCAGAGATCTTCCAACTTATCCTACCTTCTCTCCTCCACGGAGGCAACCAGATTCCCGTGGTGGTTGTGCTTCATGTCAATGCCTGGTTTTATATTTTTATTCTCTATGTATATGACTACAACCAATATATGTTGTTTTTGGTGTTCTGCATCACCTATTTCCCATTTTGACTTGCCTTTCCACCCACTGTTATCTCTTTAAGATTTAATCATGTTGGGTTGTGTATCATGTGTATATATATATTTTTAAGATAGAAGACAGAGCAATATTTTTTTAAAAGAGAGAGAGACAGAGAGAGAGAGAAAGAGAGAATTTCTAATATTTATATATTTATTTATTTTAGTTTTCGGTGGACACAACATTTTTATTTGTTTGTGGTGTTGAGGATTGAACTTTGGCTGCACGCATGCCAGGCGAGCGCGCTACTGCTTGAGCCACATACCCAGCCCCAGTATCACTGTATATTTACCTGTGTTAACTATAGGGAAAAAAAATAAAGGAAAAACTTACTGGTATTAAAAAAAAAGATTTAACCATGTCAATATTTCAAATATGCAATTACTTCGTTCATTTTTAAACATTACACAATTTTTTTGGAGTATTCCCCTCCTGAACTATATTCGGTTATGGCCTATGTTTTTGCTGTTATAAACAATGCTGCAGCGGGGCGTGGTGGTACACGCCTGTAATCCCAGCAGCTTGGTAGGCTGAATCAGGAGGATCTGGAGTTCAAAGCCAACCTCAGCAATGATGAGACACTAGGCAAGTCAATGAGACCCTGTCTCTAAATAAAATGCAAAATAAGGCTGGGGATGTGTCTAAGTGGTCGAGTGCCCCTGAGTTTAATTCTCAGTACCCCCCCAAAAAATCCCAAACCACCCCCATCAAAAAATGCTGCTGCAATGAACATCCTGATCCCAATTCATGTCTCCTTGGGCAAAGGCATGATGATTTAACCAGGAAATGCCTCCAAAGTTGTACAAGAACTGTAGTGTTGATGGTGCGACTTGTTCTGAAACATCTCCAACTACTCCATCTTCCTTCTCTCCACTAGTCATATCTTCACGGAGACTCATGGATTCCACACTTAAAATGAGTTTTACCTTTCTTCTGTCATTCATTCAAGTTATTTATTGAGTGTCTACTCTGCGCTAACCAATGGAGGCTGACTTGCACTTGGTTTTCTTCCTGTTGTTTTTCAGTCTCATGGGATACATTTAAGATCTTAGCTCAACATACATTTACCGGAGGGGCAACATTTGCCAGGCCTTTCTGTGGGAATACAGATTCCATCTCTCTGATTCCCACTCCACTAGGATTCCATGTAATCACTGCAGTCACTGAGGATGAGTGCTGCTTATTAATGGCACTTGGGGTGGGGGCACTCACTGGGCCTGGCTGGGATCTGGTCAGGCATCTTGGGAAGCAACATGGACCAAGGAATGGAGGGAGGAGACAGGGTAGCAAGACTGGATTATGCATGACCCAGAGAGTGTGCTGGTTAATATGGGATGCTATGGGGCAACTGCTAGAAGGTGAGCAGGGAATGAGTTGAAAAGTCTTTCATTTATGCATAGGTGCTTTCCACCATTTCCATGCAATTTCCAAGATTAAAATGATGTTCTAATAACCCATGGACAGAAGGGCTGACCCAGGGGCTCCAGCTGCCCTGGCCCCAATCAAGTACCCCAAAACTCAGGGAATGTCACCCGTGTACAGCACACTGATTGGGAAATTCTGCTGAGGATACATGGGAGCTAGAGAAGGGTTTTGAGCAAGGAAATGGCTGAGACTAAATTTGTTTTAGAAAAGCCAACCTAAATGCTTTATCAAGTCATTCCATAAGATCAAAGCCTCTGGTATCTCAGACTGGTTTAAAGAACAAGCCCTGACCCTTCGCTAGGGCAGCTCCATCTGAGTTTTGCCTCGAATTAATTCTTTTCCTTTCCATCAGATCACTCCTTCCAGCAGAACTGGCACAATGGCACATGGGAATCGCAGCTTCCAGGTCTGCTAGTGCGCTATCCTTGACCTCACAAGCCCACCACTGGGGCCCTGTCTGGCCTTTAATATAGAACTTATTTTTTCTGTAGTTCGTTCAAGGAATTTTTTCCCTGTTTTATTCACTGAGTTAACTGGGAACTGAGTGGAACACAATCCTTGTTTTTAGGGAGCAAAGCCTAACAGGGAAGAGGATGGTAACTAACAAGAGGCAATATGCACCTTCCTGACCAATGGCAGGTGGTGGAACTGCTGTGGTCGTTGGGGGACAAGGAGCAAGGTTGCAGTCAAGGGGAAGCATCAAGGAAAAGCTTCCTGAATAAAGGATGCCTAAACCATCACCTTCAGGATGCAGAGGATTATCTCAGTGAGAGACAACAAGAGTGAAGGTCAAGCCAGCCAGACTTCTCCCTGCAGGGCAGGGGATTCACTGGGATGGGCTTCTGAATGATGATCAGATAGATAGCAGATTTCCCCACCACACTCGAGTA